GCTGGCTGAGGAACTCTGGGAGTTGAAGTCCACAAGTCTTAAAGTTGCCAAGGTTGGACACCCCTGGACTAGACGTACCCGATTCCTGCAATCATTTACAAATGACTTGTTTATGTAGATATGGCTACCTGCATACTTTGACTGTGGAGGTTATATAAGGCAACGTACTCATCATTTCAGACAGAAAAGTCATCAAGAACATAGCAGACTGGATGTATTCTTTGTGCTTCACCCCAAATTTAACTACCTCAAGGCCTCCGCAAGCCTCCCTCCAGAGGGATGATGGGAACACAGACCGGATCTCCTGTTTATCCAGGAATATTTGCAGGATGTGGTCAAAAAAAAAAAAAAATTCAAGATGATCGACAGCCCTAGGCTTGTTCTTCTACAACATTTTAACGAATCGGCTATAAAAAAAAAACATCCCTGAGAAAAAAATAGCTGAAATTGGAGAAGAAGAAGGAACTTCTCGTGTTCGAAAAGTAATCCGTGGCACTCCTAAAAACCAAGCATGTTTTCCCTATGGTTGCATGTCAACTCAGCATTTATGGAAAGCAGGCACATGGGAAAGACACCACTCATTTAAGGAATTGGCAACTAGGTGCCACTCCGCACTCCCGTGTCCTCCAATTTCTAATAATTGTGACATGCCTGCCTTCTCTGCTACACCAGAGGCATCTGCAGGAGGGGATCAGAAAGTCAAGATGGCAGCTACAACTGCCCAATTCGCACACCTTTTGAAAATGAGTTGTGGCTTTGGTTATGCAGTTGCAGTCCTTGACTTCTGACGCTCCCTGAATGTTTCTGCTGCTGCTCGGGTGGGAGCCTTTCTCAATAACCTAGAACCCTACCCGAAAACGAGTGGATGGAAATGCATTCCTGGAGTTGTAAAGAGACCCCTGGTTAACTCAAACCTTTACCTATGAAGTCCACGGACTTGTCCAGCCAGGGAAAGATTTTCTCGCAGAAGCTGTCGTTCACCGGCACCCTTAAGAAGTGGGACTCTGGGATGAAGTCAGGTTTGGGACACGTATTGCTGGCGTTTAACACATAGCCAATCTCATTCTGTTGCATGAGCTCCTGTGAAAAGAAGCCGTATTTATAGATGACTTTAATTTTCACGGGGCTCACACCCCTAGTCTCCCGAGATGGGGAGTTCCACATCCAAGCCATAGTGCTTGGAGAAGCTGCCCCCTTCTTAAAGCCTTCCAAAAAGATCACTGAGTTGGGGCCAAGTGGACCTGGGAAGAGCGGGGGTAGATAATTCCAAAGGGCAGGTATCGCTAAGGATTAGCAGATCCCACCAGATTACACTGTTACAGAGAAAGGATCCAAAGTTTGTCCAGCTTCCTCGAGTGAGTGGGACAATCCACCTTACATGGCCCAGTGCTGTGTCTTCTTTGAGCTTATCTATAACAGGTGTGTCAAACTAAAGGCCTGTGGGCTGAATCCAGCCCTTGGGGTACTTAGATCTGGCCCACGGGCAGGGGTGGGATCTGACAGGGTTAACTACCGGTTCGGGATTCACGAGCTTCCCTGCACGCTGTGAGCCGCGCGCCTGTAAACTGTCATCAGCATGCTGCGGGCAGAGAAGCAGCCTTTCCAAAAGCCCTTTTTTCCTGCTTTTTAAACTGCAGCTGTGCCTCGCATGGCAGCTGAAGTTGAAAAAGCAGGAAATAAAGGTCAGGTAAGAGCCCGGGCGGGCGGGCGGATGGGCAAAAACATCAGCAGACATAGAACCGGTTCTATGTCTGCTGCTCTTCAGAGCTACCGGTTCTACAGAGGTGGACAGAACTGGTAGAAACCCACCCCTGCCCATGGGGCCGGCCTGGAAACCGTGAAGGACTGGTCTGCGGTGCCTCTGCCAGTGAAAACAGAGCTTGCAAGGGCTGTGCGCGGCCCTCCTGAGTTCAGTTTTCGCAGGCAGAGGGTTGCAGGAGGCCATCACAGTCAAAAACGGAGCTCGGGAGCCTGTTTTCACTGGCAGAGCACTTGGGCCACCACAGGCACCCCCCCGACACAAGTGACATACTGGTCACGCCTCCCCGAGGTCAAACATAACCCTGATGCGGCCCTCAATGAAATCGAATTTGACACCCCTGATCTATAATCAAAGATGGCCTCAATTTACGCAGCGTTTAGAGCGCTTAGGAAACCTTGCCCTGCCCTGCTTGCTATGGGGCTCAAGTGCACCCATGATCTCTCCTCCCCCCTCCCTCTCATTTCCAGCCTACCTTGTTGAGGACGTCTCTTTGGCATCCCAGGTACAGGTGGGGGAGAATCCGGGTGGGTCCCGTGTTGGAAACCGGTAAGCAAGGTTGAGAAATGCAGGAAGGCACCAGGATAGATTTTCCTTCGCAAAGGCCAGGGAAGCAATTGGAAAATTCAGCAAATCCACCTGAAAGAAAGAAAGTGCGCAGTTTTCCAATTTTCATTTAAAATAATAACAGCAACACCCACCTCAAATCATTTCCCTAATTTGCTAATTCGAAGTTCAGGGTGGCTTCAAGCGTTCTCCCAACACATATTTTTTTTTTGCTTTTAATCTTCAGCGTAGCTGAAAAAGTGAAGCAAACTGTGTTCCCCAGAGAATCACTTCCACATCGAGAAAGCAAAAAATTTTCCCAAACACAAATCGAAACCCTTGCTACTTCAACAAGAACTTCTTGAAAAGTCCCTCTAACTACAAAATCCACTGCTTCACACAATTCAAAGAGACTTTGGTTCTCTCCTCCTTTTGACAGTTTTTGTCTCAACAACCAGCTTCACAAATTCTTTACAACTGTGCAACATGTTTTTGGTATGCAATGATGTATATGCACATTGCAAGTTCCATTCATCTACAAGAGAACTAGTATTCAGTACTGTCAATTCTATTATGATGTCATCAGGCATATGACACACATCATGTACATTTTTGGTGCCCACAATGTTGTTATGGCTCATTCCCTGCATCTATGGTATGCATGAATATGTAGCGTTATTTCTGTGTGTCTTAATTTTCGTACATTTAGAAGTCTATTGGTAACCAGCTCAGATTTATATGCAAATATTTATAATATTTATGACCCAGCAGTGTGCAGCAGCAGCAGCCAAAAAAGCTAATACAATCCTAAATTGCATTAACACAATCAAGATCAAGGGAGGTACTAATACAACTCTATAAAGCCTTAGTAAGACCACACCTAGAGTACTGCATCCAGTTTTGGTCACCACACTATAAAAAAGATGCTGAGACTCTAGAAAAAGTACAGAGAAGAGCAACCAGGATGATTAGGGGACCGGAGACTAAAACATATGAAGAACAGTTACAGGAACTGGGCCTGGCTAGTCTAGGGAAGAGAAGGACCAGGGGAGACATGATAGCAGTCTTCCAACATCTGAGGGGCTGCCACAGAGAGGAGGAAGGGGTCAAGCTATTTGCTAAAGCACCCAAAGGCCAGACAAGGAATAATGGATAGAAACTGAACAAAGAGAGATTTAACCTGGGAATAAGGAGAAACTTTCTGACAGTGAGAACAATCAACCAATGGAACAGCTTGCCCCTTGGAAGTTGTGGGAGTGCCATCATTTGAGACTTTCAAGAACAGATTGGACTCCCATATGTCATAAATGGTGCAAGGTCTGCTGCTTGGGCAGGGGGTTGGGCTAGATGACTTTCAAGGTCCCTTCCAACTCTGATTATCTGTTATCTGTTATAAAACAAGTCTGAGACTGACAGCCTTGAACTGCTATTCAAATGTATGAAGTAGAAAATAAAGGAAGAGTTATTGAAACAACGGGTTCTTTCTAATATAACAGAATGATCCCTCCTCTTCTTCCCCCTTCCCCCCCTCTCAAATCATATTTTAAAATTCACATTCGGTCACTTGTTGGCTGAAATATTATACAAGCATGAATGTAAGAAGCTCGTTATTTCATAGAAATTGTAGATGCTCTTCGATAGCATCCTCCATACACATGCAGAGAACAAACAGAAAGAAGAAAGAAGAGAAGTCTATGCATGCCCAGGGGTTTATCGATGAGGCCCAACCCAACAGCAAAAGATTACTTTGATTTCCTTCTACTTCTTTTCTCTTTGCAAATTTCCGCCCTTGGTGAAGGAAAATCAATGGCTCTATCAAACAATTCAAAACCCTCTTCTCAAGGGGAAGCATGTATCACTCAAACATGGTTTGTTTGCTTAAGGCCTCTGCTCTTACATCCAACGTATTCGTGCTTGAATCCAGGGTGACAGAAAAAGCCTATATTGAAACATAGTTCCTGCCTCTGGCTTCCATAATACCCTATTCATCAGTTCATTCAGTTTACTGGGGCAAAGTTGTCTATCACAGAAGTCTTTGCTCTTAGAGGATTAGATTAGATTTTGTAACAGCCTTGTTCCTTATGCCATCCATCTTGTAAATTCACAGAATTCTTTTTTCCCTCCTGCCATGCAAATGTATATACTAGCTCGATACCCCTGCTTTGCTACGAAACTATGTGGTCGGCTTAGTTTTTGGGGAGGAAAATAAGGGGGAAAATTTTTGCCTCTGCCTACCAGCATCCATCGGTATTCATCTGGGTAGCGTCCTGTCAGTGTGTGAGAGAGTTGAGGGCTGCTTGGAAACTGAAAGAGTATTTGATGTGTGAGCAAGGAGACAGCAAGGAGCCTGGGTGTGGCTTAGCTCAACTGTTCTGTACTAAAGCTGCTTGGTGCCCTGAAACTGAAACTGAAACTCCTCTCCTCTGCTTGTGTTTGGACCAGATTTCTTTTCAGGTGGGGAAGGGGAGTAGAACTCCCTAGCATCAGAGCGTGTTAATAATAATATACAAAATACTAATGCACTGATGGTCATTTAGAAAAATCCTTTCTTAGTGAGCACCTAGAAGCCAAGAGTGCCAAATTTCAAGTTTGTAGGCTTTACGGTTCTGGAGATTTTGTGATGATGTGTGAGTGGCATTTCACTTTTATAGAGAGAGAGAGATTCAAACTACACTGTGATGTTTCACTGTGTCATGTGTGTGTGTATGTGGGTATATGCATAATGGTTATCTTTTAAGAGCTGAATGCAACGAGATTTCATTTTAATGTATGCTGATTAGTGTACATTTAAAGTAACAATAATTATTCTATTCTCTATTCCCTTCCCTTCCATTTTATTCTGAAACAGTGATGTAGGGTGTGATAAAGAGCCATACATACCTATGGGCCAAGCTTGGCCAATATTGCAAAATAGTGAAAAGATGTGACGATGCCCAAGAAATTTGATCTTATGAGAAGCAAAGATTTTTGTTACAAAATGCCTGCTTGCTGCTCTGTGACTTTGACCATAAGGAAAACAGCTCAAAAATGAGGCTATGGGGAGGAGTAGGGCAGCCATAAAAGGGAGAGGAAACATATATACATACATGCATGCATACATACATACATACATACATACATACAATACATACATACATACCTACACAAAAGGACAACGGCATAGAGATTATTATAGTAAAATAATTTTGTAGATACCTTAAGAACTGGGTAGGAATTTTGTTTATGCACCTTTTTAAAGAGAAACTACTTCACTCCATACAATGTCACTGTGGGAAATGGACAAGTTAACTACACTGTTACTTTAAGAGTCCAGTCTGAGTCCAGAATTGTCATCTATGACACTTATCTAGAGTGACACAACCTCGGAGTAAAGCCTCATGTAAGCAATCCCTATGAAACGTCTTATAGTGAATGCAGACTTCTGCTATTACTATTTATGTTTCCAACTTAGAGAAAGATCTGATTGATTAAATTGGCCCTCTTGAGTCCATGGAAGTAGAATGGAATAGGCCTCCCACTACAACTTCTGAGATACGATGCCACTGGGGTATTTCAAACTTGGCCACTTTAAGGTGTGTGGACATCAACTTCCAGAATTCCTTATTTATGTTAACAGAAAAAAGAAACATTAAAAGAGGGCATACCATCAATCTAAGAGTCTAATGTTGTCATTTTTGGGTGAGGGCACTGAATAGTTTTAAGGATGCAACTTAAAAGAAATGATGCTAATGTCTGATCAAATAAACCTCATTCCCTCCCCCCCCTCCCCACACACAAACACACACTATTGTGGTACCTGCTCTGCAAGGCAGAGTAACACAACCTAATTGGCCATGTTATTTCAGGCACTTTAGATTATTTATGAACTCTATCATATCCACCCTCTGTGTTAACATGAGAAGTCATGTCCAGTCGTAACAACCACTGGATTTGCAAATCACTAAAAACACATAATTGCATTACAAAAACACCGAGGGTTAAACCAAATGTACCAACATGCATGTATGCAGGGGTGGGCTTCAAAAATTTCAGCAACAGGTTCTCTGCCCAGTTGCAGGGTGGGCGTGGCCATGGTGGGTGTGGCCTAGCTGGCTTCCTGCACCACGGCGGGGAGCCCGTTTTCGCCTTTCCCAGGCTCCGGAGGCTTTCCTCGAGCCTATGGGAGCGTCAAAACTGCCTCCCAGGGCTCTGGAGGCCAGAAATGGCCCCATTTCTGGACTTCCAGAAGGCCCGTTTTTCCCCCTCCCCGAGGCTCAGTGCAGGCCCTGTACTTACTTGGCATCCAAAACAGGCCGTGTGGAGACTCCTGGGAGGAGCGGGAGAGGCCAGCCAGGGATTTGGCAGTTTGCCGAACCAATCATAACATTAGCTACGGATCTGCCCAACCCAGGCGAGCCTGTAGTAGCCTACCCCTTCATGTATGTGAATGAATGAGTGAGAAAGACAGAAAGACAGAAAGAAAGTTGGCATTGGGCAGAAAGTTCAAATGATTGTTGAGTTGTATTCACTTCTCTGTTCATGATCAAATGTTTATAAGAATAGTAAGAAAAAGATTCACAGCCCATTTAAGCCTCGCACCCTAACCTCAGACTCTTACATCACAACCGAAGAGCCAAGTTGGAACTCATAACTGTAGCCACTTGCCTGGCCACACATGCTCTACTCCCTCTCATCTCTTCGTAATTGCAGAAGTTACTCTGCCTATACCTTATTAAATAACCACAGATGGGAAGGAGTGGCCCAGCACTGTACACTTGTGCGTGAGACATGTTGGACTAGAAGAAAGAGGAATTGAAATTCAAAACGTTGCAAGACATTGTTAACCATCCCAGTGATGCAGAGGAGAGCTCTTTGATGGTTGGAATTGAAGAATCTCTTGTTGACGGTGTGCAGAAACTGGGTCTGCTGCTTAACCTTTATCCAAAACAAACTTAAGATTGTATCCATGGTCAATGTCAATCCACAGCAAATAGAGAGGAAGAGTAGAGGCAGCAAACTTTAGCCCAAAAATGAAAAGATGTTTTCTCTTTAAGACAAAGACTTTGGCGGATCCAGACAAAATATTGAAGTGCAAAGAACAGCACACTGATAAG